CAGAGAGCACTGTGGATTCTACACAGAGCAAGACCTGAGAAGGCTTCATAAAAGTCTCTTTAAACAAATCTTTTTGAACTAAACTTTGAAAGATGTGTGGGGGATTTACCTGGCCAGAAGAAGGGATAGGAGGAAGGGAAGTGGCCTTCGAGTCCAGTAGCTGGACTGGGCACAAGGCACAGAACACATCAGGGAAGCTTTAAGCAGGCTCTGTGTGGGTGGAGTGCAGGGAGGGGCCCAGTAAGGATGAATCTGGAACAGTGAGAAGAGTCTGAGTTTGCAGCCCCAGAGGAGGCAAAGGCCAGCTTAGTGATGGGGAACCCCACGCCAATGTAGATAACTTGTGTAATAGCGTTAGGATGGCGTAATTGTTAGAAATGTTTTAGCTGGAAGAAAATTTGACTCACAGTGAGTTCTTTTTCTCTCCAGCAAGGAGTCTAGACCTAGAAGGCTGCTGGCGTTGGTTGAAAATCAGGGCTTTCAGGGCTGGTGCTTCTGCTCAAGGTATCATGTGAGCATTCAAACAGGAAGAAACAGAAAGAGGAAGCATAGGCAGTGTCTGTACCAGTTTCTTTCCATCCCAGCTGTCAGCTGTTTCTCACCCTTCCCCAAGAGAAGAAAGGCAGCGGGAAGCTGCCTCTGCAGTTTGGGAGGCACAGGGAAGAGGGTAATGCAGGCCATCCCCATTCGTGACTTGTGCCCAAGTCAAACTTGCCCCAGGCTTTGTTGATGTCCTGTTGCCATTTTGTTCCATTTCGATTTCCCTAGAATTTGAAATAGCAAGAACAAGAGGAATGTATGTATGAAAGGGGCATTTGTAAGAGATCTCATCTCCAGTTGAAGCAACAGAAGCTGTAAGCAAGGAGGCTAAGCACCTTCCTCAGAGGCCTTCATTACATTCATTAGGAATTTAAAATGACAGAATAATAATAATAATAATAGCTGCTATTATTGAGCAGTTTTCATTGGCCACATGTCAGGTACCACACAAAATGGTCTACATACTTCTCAGCTAATTTCAGATTTGAGTAGATATTATCAGATATTATCACCCATTTTAAATAAGAAAATTGAGACTCAGGGTGCTTCCCTTGCCCAAGACCATGCAGCTAGCAAGGTGTGAGCTCTGGGTCCCCATATGTGGCCAGCTTCTTGGCCCTCCTGGGTACAACCTTGACCCAGGAAAATCAGGACTCAAAAGTCCATCAACGAGCCGAGACATTTGAGAAAATGCTGCTAACCAGGTCGAGATGCTTCTGACTAATAACTTTTCGCTTAGCCGCCTGTGCTCACAGCTCAACAGCTGAGTGTAGAAAGTCTTCTGCATAAACGGCACACTATTTTTCCCTTTTCCTTTACTTGAATCATCTGAATGATTAGTCCAACTGCATCTTGACCACCAGCTTCTTTTCATTTCTTGTGAATAAACGTGGAGGCCTGACATATGCTAACTGCTGGCAAGTTCCTGGAATGAAGAAGTCTTGAATAAGTCTCTCTCCATTTCCACATCCACTGCCACCCACCAGAGAAGTATTCTGGTTTTTCTACTAAAGTCATAGCATTAACGTTCACTCCCACAAGTACTTCTATAACATTTTTATATGCTTAAAATAGTATAAATGTTGTCTATAATAATCATAGGAAGACCAGAATAATAAGCATTCTTCTTTAGAAAGAAATTGTAAAAAGGGAAGGGAAGAGATTTTTGCTCTGATTTGGGTGGGTCCTGGGTACTCTGATAGAGTGCTTAGTGGGATTACAGATAGCAAAAGTGGAGCACAATAGCTTCAGAGACCAGAAGGCGAGCCAGGCAAGGTCTCTACCCTGGCCAAGTGGAAGCACTCATTTCCATCTGCAGCTGTCTCTCCTGGGTTCTGACCAGGCCAGAGGACCGGGCTCAGGCACCCAGGCATTGTTCCAATCATCTGCTGAATAATTGCCCTTAAAAAAAATAAATAAATAACAGCTGAATGCTGTTTCGAAGGAGATTATGGGATCTGTTCTGGCCCTCTTTAAATAAAGGACATTTGCTTATCTCCAGAGCTGTTCTTCCATTGGCTCTCCTGGAGGTAGGCATATCATTTAGTGACCTGGTAAATTCCTCAGCAGCCCCTGGATTCCATAATTCTGTTTCCTGTCTAGCAGGTAAAAAGCAAACCTCTTTGCCTTCTTTCGACTTTTCTATGCTGTCATCCTATTCAGCTTTACAGTGTATTGGTTCCCATGGAAACGCCAATGTCCTTGCTGTGGACAGAACTTAATCACAGCCAAAAGGGTGAAATAAAGTACATTTTTATCTTTGATTGAAATTTGTATCATGATTCATGAAATAGAAGAGAGAAAGTAGAAGAAGAAAAGCAGGAGGGTAAGAAGAATAAGAGGAGCGGGGAGGAAAGATGGAGGGGGAAAGGAGGGGCTGGGGTTGACAATAATTCCCTCTGTGTCCGTCCAAGAAACTGTTGGAGCGGAGACTGTCAGTTGAAGTGTACTATGTCCCTTACTACAGGCCAGGCTGGGTCTGTCTCAGCTCTCTCAAAGGCTCTATAGAACCAGAGCTGTGGTTGGCCCTGTGGCCTCCTATAGCCTGATGTGATTTGAGAGGCACCTGCCCCAGGCTATCTCCCTCACGGGCTGGTCACCTTGCATGAGATTCCACCATGAGAGGTCAAGTCCCTTAGAAACACTTTTCAGTCTTGACATAGGTTCCAACACATGAGGTAATAATTTTAGCCATGATCAACTCATATTTTTGCTAGATCCCTTCTCAAGCCCTAGAACCTCCTCTCTTGCCACCTGCCCCCCCCACCCCCACCCCAAGGGCCAGGTGTTCTGGCACTTAGTAATCAATAAAGTTGCAAGTCTCTGAAGAGATACCCACTTCCTCTTCCAGGTTCCTTTACTGCTGACCTTATCAACTGCTTCCTGCCATCTGAGCACCTATTCTGTACATCCACCTACAAGCAGCCTCAGGTTTGTGGAGTTTGAAGCTTACAGGCTTTTGCACTCTTTTTAAGAAAAGGATGCAAAATTACAACTATAAAGCTGGTACGAGGTCTTGAAAGGGGCCCGTGCAAAGGAGGGGCTTAAACTTTATTAGCTCTGTGGTAATTCTGTGTCTGTTATCTAATATAATCTTTAAAGCAACACCATGAGGTACATATCTCTTTTAACAGATGAGAAAACGGAGGTTCTGGGAAAGTCATCGAAGTTTACTAAAAATTACTAAAAATTTACAAAGAAAAAAAACTGACTTAAACCCATAGGTTCAATTGGGACTCCTTGGGATTGATAATTAGGAATAGAACATTGGGGGATATCTCCATAACCAGTCTTTTGGGTTTTTTTTGTTTGTTTGTTTGTTTTTGCATACGCGTAAGTTGTAACATGCAGAATCAATCCCACTTTTCCAAAATGTGACTCTCACTTCCCCGTCAAAGCCAACCCAGCTGATGGAATTGGATTTTAGCTGTGGTTGGAGTGCCAGAGAGGGTATCATGTATCCCACTTGCAAATAATTGATCGGCTTCCTGCAATGCATTACGTGCTCTCACCACAGAACAGAGATGGAAACTGAGACCATCAATTGGATGGCTGGTTAATGTCCACGGGAGCTGTGCATCTGTGCATCCGGTGTTTCTGGGCTGGATACCAGGACCAGCCTGCAAAGCATTTGGACAGGGTGGTGTCTGAGGTCCTCCTGGTTGCATTGAGGTACGTGGATCCTCTCAGATTCACAATGGAACGAGTCTTTATTTTCTTTCCTTTGTCAGTATTAGCAACATTATCCATGCTTCTATTCATATCTGGTTAATTTAAAGTAGATACATTTCCCAACACCCTCACATGCAAAGTTTCTAAGTGTAACTCCTCTGGTGTTGTCTTCAAAATGGTAGAAACTCAAATAAGTCAGAAAAATAGAATATTCTCCCACCTCATTCTTCCCTAAAAACTATAGTAAGCACATCAGAGGAGGGCTATTTAGCAGCATGCCTTACAGCAGGCCAGCTGTCATTCAAAGTGAGCACCAGTGGGGATCCACCCAGGATGAAGTCACAGAAAGCTGGGTGGGAAGAGGAGCCACCCTCCCCCAAGGCGGGAGCAGGGGTGGGAGGGAGAAATGGGACCCCCGCCCAGAATCCAAATTCATGTATTATGAGAAGTGTTTACATCTGAGGCATGAAATCTCCAGTCCAAATGTTTCCTAAAGCTTTTTGTATACAAAACAAACACTGTTCTCAGCCCCATAATGATAGCACAAGTGTATTAAAAGATTGCTAAGTATTTTAATACTTATGATAAAATTTAATCTATCACCTAATTTATCCCCACAACACCATGAAGAAGGAACAATGGTTCTTCATTTTTACAGATGAGAAAACTGAGGTTCTATGAGATTAAGTAATTCTCAAAGTCACCAAGCTAGTCATGGTGGAGTGAATGCTGAAATCTAGTTTTATTTGACTCTCAAATCATGCTTCAAATCTTAATGACATTTGCGGAGTGCTTACCATGTGCCAATTCCCACGCTAGCAATTTACATACAGTCTCTATTTGATCTTCACACTGATTTGTAAGGTATTTTATTCCTGTCTTCAGTGACTCTAGAATTTTGTCTGGAGAAGGGAGTGAGGTAAATGAGAATGAGATATGCATTTTAAAAACTCTAATACAAATCAGAATAAAATAAGTGCTAAAGAAAGATGAAGAGTTGGCCAAGTCGATGGTTCTGGGATGGATTTTTAAGGATAGTTTGGATTTCCCATTGAATTGGAGAAACAGGGGATTCACTCATGGAAACACCCATGGGGAGAGACAGGGCATGCTTGAGAAATCATGTGTCTAATTATTGAGGTTTGACTGAAGCACGGGTTGTGTATAAGGAATATTTGGCAGGGGAGCTATACTGGCACTGACCACCAGGCCAAAAAATTCTATTAATATGGTAGACAATGACAGAAGGATGATCAGGGCAGAGTGAAACTTTAAAAAAGAAAATGCCAATACTTACGTGGCAGGGGAGATGCCATGATCACGAAGGTGGTCCCAGAGCAAGGCTTATCCATTGCACTCTGGATGTGCCGACCCCTGCGATTTCCCCAAATGTGAGAAACTCGACTGCATCATTTGGGGGACTGGGGGACTGTGTTCGTGCTCTCCCCTGTTAAGAAAGAAAGAAAGAAAAGAAAGAAAGAAAGAAAGAAAGAAAAAAAAAAAGAAAGAAAGAAAGAAAGAAAGAAAGAAAGAAAGAAAGAAAGAAAGAAAGAAAGAAAGAAAGAAAGAAAGAAAGAAAGAAAGAAAATGCCACAGCATTTGTAGACCAGACCAATGCAATAGTTTGAACAAGAGAAAACCATCTGAATCTTGGTGGGAATAAGGAGGATGGAGGGAAGGGTTATGCAAGAGACACGCCTGAAACATAGGACCTTGTGTTCCCACCCCTGGGGAAAAGACTCACACCAGGACCCCACTGACTCAGCCCAGGTCTTTAACTGGCCCAGGATCTCCACAGCAAGCCAGGAAGCGTCTCTGGAGGAGATCCTTTCTTCTCAAGATGTTGACTCCCTGAAGATGCCTGAAGCCTGCCCCAAATCTCAGGGGTGGCACATCCTCAGTATTGCCTGTGCATTGTTTTGTCCACATCTGTAAGACTAGTCCCTTAAGGAGCAGGGAAGAGAATGGGAGAGCCGAGAGCTTGAGAAATGGTTTGTGGGTCTGGCAAAAAAGTTGGCTGTCATAGGACACAAAATCTATATTTTGCAAACATAATTGTTTTACATCTTTCCATATTTTCTTTGTTGTTTCCTTTTTCCTTCTCCCTTTATGTTTTCTGTGGTGGTGCTTTTTTCAAATGAAATTTCTGAAAATTACTACCTGTCTCAGTTGTGCTGAAAGGTTATAAGAAAAAAGGATTCTTTCCCACTTGGATCCGAATGTTAAAGGTGCAGGACCATGAAGGCCCGGGGTGGCTAGGAGCGGGTGAGAAACTCAGTGAGTTTTAACAGAAGAGGCAGGATGGGCTTGAACAGATGTTCCTTCTGGCCTGACGTCTCCTTCCAGCCCTTGGCACGTTTGAGTTTTGTTTAATTACCATCAGGGGTAATTAAACTTCTGGACACACCACTGACTTTTGGTGATTCATTCATAGAAGAACCAAGAGCTAAGGGACCTTGAAGGACAAGACAAGCTCCAATGTGACTCCAGTGTCTCCCTCCTCAGTCCATCATCTGCAAAGCTTCAAAGTGATCAATCTAAAAAGGAAACATTGTCCATCGCCCCAGAATAAAATCTCTTCATGCTAACCACTTGATCTGGTTCCCAGTTCCCGTTTGGGCTCATTTGCCCTAGAGTTTCTCTTCTAGCAATGCCAAACCGCTTGATTGTTTTTATCCTTTCTCCTTCGGAATCTCCAAAACACAGACACGTACGTGAGTGCATGGCTTGTGCTCGTGCACGCACATGTGCGCACATACATGCACACAGACTCTCTGGCATTTCTAGACTAGCGTATGCCCTCCCCCATTTAGAATGACCAAATCTTTCTTATCTCTTAAGGTTTAGGAAGCTTCCCTGATTTAATTCTGGCTGACTCAAATGCCCAACTTCTGAGGCCCCATAATACCTGTAACGTAACACTGCTGTTGCGCTTATCACTCATATCATGATAATTTGTTTATAAGTCTGTTTTCTGAACCAGACTATGGGCCATGGGCTCCTTGATTATAAAAATGAGTCTTTCTCATGTTGATATCACTAGTAGCCACTCTCAGGTGCTCAATGAATGTTTGAAGAATAAATAGACCCTGAAAAATTGATGTAATGTTGTGTCTGCATAGACCCAGATTTTCTTTAATGTAGAGATGTGTTAATCACCTGCACAAGGAAAAATAGCATTCACGTAGGAAGAGTTTATATTCATTCTTAAACAAATTAAGGTGAAAAACATTTTGATTGGTTAAGCCTGGGCTTCATCCAGAATCTCCAGGTTAGGTGCTCTGAGCCCATTGGTAGTTTATGTTTATTTATACATGGCAAAATCACGCTTTCTGTTTTGAGAGAAAATGTTTCTCTCAAAGTTTTATTAAAATGTTCGAACTGTCTCACAGACATCAAATTGCTCTCACAACACAACTCTTTAGTGTAAACAATCAGCAATGCAAGGATTAAATTCCCCTTTGAGCTCATGTGGGCTTAAAAGAAAGAGCAGCCATGCTTGGCAAAATAAGCTCTGAGCTTTATTGAACCTCTTTTTTAGATGGAAACTCAAGACTGTCAGTCAACCAGAGACACATCTGGGGCCCACCACGCTGACTGCAGGAACCAGAGAAAGAGATGAGCCAAGAAAGCCTTTCAAGCCAAATTTTTTTTTTTCCTTTACAATAAAAGAAAAAAAGCGTGAGTAGATGCCATTAGCACACCAGTTGGACCCAGGACCATTTTTATTTTTCAAACAAGTAGTCCTAAAAGGCCAGACCCCCTGGTTACCAGTGTATAATTCCCATTGACATGGTAAAGAGTAAGCAGTTACTTTGTTGTTGTTTTATTTTTAAATAAACAATTGTCTGGGAGTCTGAAAATGGGCACAGCAGGAAGAAAACAACTACACACTGCTTCCTCAGAAATACAGCACACACGCCTACCAAGGGCACTGGTTGTCACCATTACAGTGTTGTTGTCACTGTTTTCCCT